GGCTTTCGAAAGCCTTGCCTGCCTGAAAGTCAGGACTCACTCACCTAGTAGTCAGGGCGGGGCATCCCTCCGTGGCTCACGTAGGGATTTTGGGGCTGATTGGACACAGTCTTGATTTTGGGGAAGATGGTCCCGCTCTCGTTGGCTCCGAAGTTGGTAAATTCTGTCTGCTGCAGTTTTAAACGTGGAGAGTCTTTCTCAATCAAGTTCTCTTCTTCATCATCCTTCCTTTTGTTCTTTACTCTGAAATCGGCAATGACAATGAGGATCTGACAGGGGCAGTGCGTCCGTGGGAGTAAATGTTAACGTTTAAAATATAGTTTGAATTTGAAAATCATTTAACATTTACACAGAAATTACAAAAATGTCTACAAAGAGCTCCCACGCACCTATCACTCAGATTCTCCAACCGTTGACATTTCTGGACCATTTGAGAATACGCTGCAGATTGTAACCTGCAAGGTCAGTAGTTCGAGACCAGCTGAGGCTTTCTATTCCCGTAGAGTTACAGTCGCGGAAGCTCACAGGGGCAGTTCGACCCTGCCCTGCAGGCTTGCCAGGAGTCAGAATGGACTCAATGGCAGTGAGTTTGGTTTTCGTTTTGCAGACCTGATGAAGCCCGTTTCCTGCAGCACTTCTTGTAGTTTCTAAACGTAGGGGTAATCTCCTCAATACGCACTGTGTGGCCATCACGATCAGGATTTTGACATCAACCCGACCTGACCGTCTAATTCCACCGGCCCCCAGTCAAAGTTTGCCAATACTGTTGTGGTCGTTATGTAATCACTTGTCAATTTGAGAGACTTAAGAGTGAGGGGGTGGAGTCTAGCCTGTCCAACAGGTTCTACACAGCCAGTCAGGCCTCTGTGTGGGCCTGGCCTTCTCCTGAGGAGTCCTCCTTGGAGGCGGGAGACACTGTCTCAGCTCACTCCCTGGGAGACATTGAAGCTGAGAAGACACATGGAACTACACATGAGCTGGAGGAACCGCGTAGAGGCCCCTGCCAGCGCTGACATGCCTCTACTGCCACTGGATCCACAAGACTTTTCACCCACTGGCCTGTGATCTTCCTGGACTTAGCATCATTGCATGTGTTTTGTGAGTCTGAAGAGGACTTTATAGATTGGTATGGGACATATGGGCTAATATCGGACTTATGGACTTGATCTGGGCTGGGCTATTTTCTCAACAATCAAAGCTCGTTCCTATACATGTATGAGTGTCTATAAATTGGGTTTCTCTAGTCTACCCAGACTAACACACATGTTAACATTCTCAAGTGTGCCTTTCAATTACATTTGGAAAAGAGGAAAGTCAATGTCTACAGAAGCCCCTCAGTGGGTGGAAGGAGCGAGTCCAAGTCAAAAAGGTGTTAAAAAAAGAAACAGGAGTTCCCAGGTTCTGTTGGGACTCCTCAAAGAAGATCTCTCGCTCAAAGCCCAAGGGGCATCACTCACACAGCAGGGAGCAAGCGGCATTTGACGGAAATCGAAATTGTGCTTATGTTTCTGGTTCCCAGCGTTGTGTCTTGGGAGAAGGGTGAATATCAAGATAGAAAAGTAAAAGAAACAAAGCACTTTGGGACTCAGAATATGCTTGTTTGCTTACATTACAGTGGGAAAATTCTGTACCTATTAGGCCAAATATAAGTTCTAGCTAGATGTTAAAAAAAAGTGGCTATTTTTTCAAAAATCAAAGGCAAGATCCTGGCACATGGGCAGTGGATGAAGGTCATGGAGACCTTGGGTTGTGTGGACTGGAAAGTGGGCGGTCCAAGTCCACCAGAGGGGGCTCAGTAGAAAGACCTGGCTGTCCACCACCCCCCAAAACCAGCCATCAAAAACCTCGTGGAGCACGGTCTACTCTGTCACGCCCGGGGCTGGTCACCAGGAGCCAGCGTCACCTCGATGGCCACAGGCAGCATTAAATGAGACTGCATGTTTAATGAAATGTGTTTATCAACTAGCCATTAAAAGCAGTATTGACTAAATAATTGGACACGGATCCCCTTCTCTTAGGACAAGAGAGCTTAAGGCACCACGCTAAGAAATGGCCACGTAGAGATGACGTTTCTACTTATTTTAAAACTTGAGCCTTAATTAAGGTTGATTTTAGATCATTTGCTGCTGGGCCCTGAGCAAGAGAACGAATAGTTGGAATAACTATTGATGGAAATAACGTTTGACAATATAAGTGGAGTTCAATATTGTTAACAAAGTCTTTTTTAATACCATGAGGAAACGCAGCCTATGTCCCAACATACGTATCTTTAGCAAAAAGAACCAAACCTCGCCCAAAGTAAACAAAACCAAGTGTGTGTGTGTGTTGCTTAATGTCTCTCCACACTCTTTAGTACTTACATCCATGATCCAATAGGACTGTAATAACAAAAACACCCTGCTGTGGGGACAATTCTAAGTCACAGCAACCCCATAGGACAGAGAACTGCCCTAGAGAGTTCCCAAGGCTGCGGTTTTTTTTTTGTTTTGTTTTGTTTTTAAGGCTGCGGTTTTGATGGACACAGCCGGCCACAGCCTGGGCACTCTGGGCACAGCTGGGCACTCAGGCTGCAGGCCTCTCTGCGTGCAGCCAGCGGAGCGCCCTAACAAGGGCAGCACGGTCAAAGTAACACCACTCACTGCCTCGAATCAATACTGACTCATTGTGACCCCTGTGGGTTTCCGGAAGGTTACGAAAGACACAGAGGCTGGGCTTGGCTGGCTAAGGGAATCAGATCTTTCCAGGAATCACTAGCTCTCCAGATCTGCAGTCCTCCCTGGCCCTAACTCTGGGGTGGAACAGGGAGGGGCTCCTGACGTCCATCCCTGTCTGCCTGTCCCACCGCTCTCCACTCAGGTAGGGGCCACTCAAGACACTGCTGGAGTTGCCAACATCGCTGTCCCACTCAGCCCCCGGGGCCCTGATGCACTGCTCCTACCTTGGAGCATTGGAAGGGCAGCAGAGGGAGGAGGGAGAAGAAAGGAGGGAGAGGGAGGGAGGGAGGGAGGAGGTGAGGAATGGTGGGAGGGGCTGGGAGAGCTTCAAGGTCACGCCCCTGACCATCCTGTCTGTCTCCTATATGCAGTAGTGTTTGCGCAGCATCCAGATCATATTTCACAGTGATCTGGAGACCTGGTTGCGCCACAGGCAAAGCCCTAACTTGGAGACCCACAGGCAGCTCTACCTGGCTCTGTGCGGTCAAGGTCACCGTGAGTGTGGACGGACCGCACAGCGGGGGGTGGGTGGCTGTTTCTCTCATAGAAGAGACTGTGGGACGCGCACCTGTATTATCATTTTCAAAAACAGAAAACAACCTGGAGGAATCTGTACCAAAACTTGTGGGAGAATTTTAACATTTCTAATTGTCGATATATCTCTCAATTTTGTAGGGTGTGTTTTGTTTTGTTTTCAATGTTCCATTCTCACTCCTGTCATCAAATGAAAATGAAGGAGGGAGGAAAGAGGCCGGCGGCACCAGAGAAAACTCAGAAACCAAACTCACTGCCATGGAATCGATGTCAACGACTAGTGGCCCCACCTGACAGAGTGGCCCTGCCCTGCCCCTGCGCTTTCTGAGCCTGCAAATCTGTCCTGGAGGAGAAAGTCTCATTTTCCTCCCTTGGAGACGCTGGTGGGCTCAAACTGCTGACCTTGCGGTGAGCAGCTGGCATGTCCCCGCAATGCCACCAGGGCTCCTTGGGCAGGAGAGGGCCTCCCCCCACCCCCCCAGGTCCCTTGGCTTGTGTTGGGAAGGTGGAGGTTTGCCAAGCAGAGTGCAGGGCTGGTGGTGCCCAGCTGGGGAAGGGACACCCCACTGCATCCATACCTTGTGACGATGAAGGCGATCACCATGCCGAGGATGATGATGCCAGCAATGCTGCCCACGATGGTGAGGATCAGCTGGAATTCTGAAAGGGAAGAGAAGGGTGTAAATGCCCCTCCAACAAGCAGCTCCCCGGCTGTCTACTGCACAGGTCTGTGTGCCTTCCCAGTGCCTCCTGGCTGGGAGGAGCATCGGGTGTTGGCCTCGGTCTCCTCCTCCAGGGCCAGGCCTGCTGGGTGACTTGTCTCCTTCTGCCCTCTGCCTCCTCCAGAATTCAGTCCGGAAAGACAACCTTGCCAGGTGAAGGAACACCACCCCTTGTCATGACAAAGCAAACAACTGCTGTCAAGTCCTTTCCGGCTCCTAGTGAGCACCCGTGTCTCAGTCGAACCGCTTCACAGGGTTTCCAAGGCTGCACGTCACCAGACCCCTCTCTGTCTTTTTCTGTTATGGGACAACCACCTATGCCACCTCCAACCGGGGCTCAGGGGGCCAGAGATCATCAGGAAGGAGCCCGGGTGGCACAGCAGTTAAGCACTTGGCTCTAACAGAAAGGCTGGCAGTTCAGACTCACCAGCCGCCTCCGTAATGATGGGAGCCTTTATCAGATAGATCTACTCTGCCCTATCGGTCGCTATGGTCAGAATGGCCTCGACGACATTTTTATTTTTTAAAGAGGCCACAGGAAAGGAGCCCTGGTGACGTGCTCAGCAGCTAGCCCTAAGGTCAGCCATTCAAACCAGGGGCTCCCTGGAGAAAGGGCCTGGCAGCTTGCCCTTGTAAAGGGCACAACCTAGGAAGTGCTATGGGGCGTTGGACCCTGCCGTGCAGGGCGACTATGGGTCGGGACTGACTGGATGGCACACAACCACTTAGTCTGGAAACGTCCTCTAAAGTCATCTAGCCCAGAGCTCTCATTTCCTAGGTGTTGGAACGTGGAGGGCTATGAGGAAGCCATGACTCCCCAGATTCACCCTGGCAGCAAACTACACTAAGACCAGAGGGCCTTCTCCTGGTCAACGTTGGCTGGTGGAGGCCAGCAGAGACGCAGCGCTGCGCCTTCCCCATGGATCACTCATCTTTAGGGTATCGTGTCCACATGGCAATATACAGTCACTATTGTTCCACTCAAGGAGCCCTGGTGGCATAGTGCTTACACATTGGGCTGCGATCCGCAGGGTCAACAGTTTGAAACCACCAGGTGCTCTTTGGGAGGAAGAGGACTTTCTATTCCTGCAAAGAGTTACGGTCTTGGAAACCCACAGAGGCAGTTCTGTTCCTGTCTGGTAGGGTTGCTATGAGTCGGCATAGACTCAATGGGGGTGAGTTAGTGTTCCAATCAGCTGGGAACGGGGCTGGGGGCAGGGAGCGGACATAGCCAACTGCCTGTGGGTGGACACATTCCAAACCAGCCCACAGCCCTGCGACAAGGGCGAGACGGGAGGAGGAGCTCCATGTCCTGTATGTGTTGGTCTTTTCTCCCGGCCTTGTATCAGAAAAAATGAAATCGATTTAACCTCACGCAGGAACTAAACATACTGTTAGAAGATATCAAGGGATAGTCCCCTCTGGTCCGGGGCAAGTTCAGAAGCGCCAGCCCAGCCCTTGGGCTGGCTTCTGTTATGTCCTCCGTCAGAGGTGCTGCTGCCCATGACCTGGGCTGGGCTGGGCTGGGGAGGGGAGGCAGTGGACAGCCTGGCTCAGAAGACAGACTGTGGACAGACTTTCTCCTCTCTTCATTAAGGGAGCCTGAGACTTAAGGGCCTGGACAAAGTTTTGAATACAGCTAACATTTGCATCTCAGATGTTTTAATGACAAAACAAGATTTTATACTCACGATCTGTACAGTTGACTCCACTGTAGCCAAACGGGCACCTTGAGCACATAAATAGGAAGTGATGTGAGTGGGCTTCCTTAGGGGATCAGGTCAGAGAGCCCCCCTACCCCCACCCCCACAC